CAGTAAAAGACAGGCTAGTCTCTGCTGGCTTCACATCAGTTTTTATTATTTTATACTATGAACTTGTGAGCCTTCATGTTACTGCTGATAGTGAAAATATAAGATGAAATGACAGGTAAACGGTTTGAGGATAAGCAGAATTCTGATTTTATGTATTTGTATCAAGAATTTGTTGTAATAGTACATGTGACTACACACATTATTTGACAAGTTATTAACCAGTTTGTCAAGTGGTAATTGTTACCGCACATTATGCTAATGTATGGCTAAATAGTCCTCATGCTAAAAAAGAAGTTTGCTCAGGTGTGGAAAAAATAGTAACAACTCAAGGAGGACTTAGCTTTTCAAAGCTATTAACTGCCCTTCATGGTCTTCGTCAGTTGGTGCGTTTGGATCAGATGTCATTAGGGGTGTGACAATACACTTAGCTCGTGAGACGATACATGATATTGGGTTGATGAGAACAAGACGAGGTAATATTTTGTCACTTTTTAAGAAATCTTATGGCAGCGCAACGTTTAAAAGTAGCTGTAGGAGGGTACAGTTTATACTTTCTTATAATTTCATAATGTCAAACATGTTGGATTTGTTTTTGAATCGGTCTTCTCTTCCTGTCTACAGCGCATCACGTGATGTAATGCATTTCTGCTATTGGTTAGCGCAGCTTAGCGAGGAAAAGGAAGCGCTTGGTTTGATGCAAGGCATCTCCATGCTAATGCAAACGTAGCAGAATCATTGTCACATGACATTGCACAGGGATCAAAATCATGCTTGAGAAACAGTTAATCGTGCAGCCCTACATGTTGGCATGAGCATTCACTGCTATTCACTGTCATATTTTGGCCACAATTAATGCACCATAATGACATGCCATGCATTTTTGTTAGTGCTCCCCCTGCAAGCCCTCACCACTAACAAATGCAGCTCTGTGTGTTAAAACAGCAGAGAGTTGTGGTTTTGCTAGACTAATGTGAATTTGTGCCATCACACTCCTGGTTCTGTTATGTACTGATATCGTGAGACAACTTTTGCCTCGATGGGAGCTATTGTCACATTTTGATATTGCTAGATCTTATGGCACGAGAGCCCGACACACCCATAGGTGTCATCATGGGACAATTAGAACAAGGTTTGTATAGGTTTATCCAATAAAAGCTAAGTAAAGTCAAACAAACGCGTCAAGTTTGTCAAAATATAGATATAAAACGAATATATGTTTACAATCAATATAAATGTTTATTCGGATTCCAGTAAGAGTTTTCTTCTGTTTTATGACTCGATTAGGATGATCAATTATTTATTGAGTTGCGGAACACAAGGTAATATCTCACATCCCTGCCATTTAACCTTCATACTCAAATGTAATGCTGTGATTCCACTTCCAAAAGAGGGTGTAATATTGATTTTATAACCCACTACAATATAGACAGTATGTTGGTAATGCACTTATGACATCATGCTCAGTAATTTAAGGGAGACCCCTACTGAACTGTTTTTTAAAAATGTCATGTGGCTGGGGATTATTCCAAGGGTTTATTTGACTGTAAAGGGTGATTGATTTCAGACTTGCTTTGCATTTTGCACCCATATTAGGTAGAGATTTCAGTTGGGGGTTTTTCCCCTGAACTGAATTATATAGTAGAGCAGACAGTGTTTATTGTCAAACTAAACAGTAGCGAGAATGTTTGACTAATAAAGTACAGTAGCTCCTAGTAACACACAAGCATTTCTGGTACTTTTGCTTAGGGTGATTTTCATTGTACATTGGTTTGTTTCCCCATTCATCTCCAATCCACTTGTTCAGGTGTGTTAGCAACTCAAATGCATTTTTATTTAATTGCACTCATTCTTATTAGAAATTAAAGCAAGTCTAATTGAGTGAGAAAAACTGCAAATGTATTGTGTTTGCAGTAAAGTTGGGTTATGCATGTCTAGCAGTTCTCTGCTAGACATGCATAATCCAGTCCCTTAATAATATCATGTAACAGTGGCTTTTCCTCTTTTTTTTTTTTTTTTAAACAATAAGGAAACCGGTTTGTTTTAACTACATGTTTTGTCTGAAGCTGGTGGAGGTGACTTTTCACATAATAGCAGATTAAATTTTCATTAAGTATCACAACAGTCAAAAGGACCATAAAGTGCAGAAGTGGTTGTATTGGACACTTAAGCACACACTGCATTATACCTTTGTGTTAAGTGTTGGTGTAGTGGAGTGGAATATTACAGTTGAACTTCATTTGAACAGAATTTGCATAAAGGTATGTGATACAATGGTGTGCACTCTACACAGCACAACAACTAGTATTGAATGCCATACCATTTAGGAAACTAAAATAGAATAAAAGAAGAGTAAAAATAATAAGGATAATCACTTTTTATTTGGCCAAGTATGTTACACACAAGGAATTTGCTTCCCGTACTGAACCGAGGTAGCATCTGAGGCACCAACTCAACCTATGGCTCTAACCATCGGGGGCAACTTTGGGGGGATCAGTGTCTTGCCCAAGGACTCTTCGACACGTGGACTGCAGGCACTGAGATTCGAACCTCCGGTTGGGAGACAACTGCTCTACTCCCTGAACTACAGTCGCCCCCGAAATAGACTATAAAGAATAAGAAAACTAAGTCAAAGTGATTAGGATAAAGTTAAATGGTACAACCGGTAGGCTATGACTCAAACCATGTACAATCAGTGACAGTAGTGCAAATAATAACGAAGATTGTCAGATGGTTGTGAGATTGAGATGCACGTGGAGAGTAGTACAAATGACCAATGGCAGCGGATATGATTGGTAAAAACAGTCAGCAGCAGATTTACATGTAATATAACAATAAAGGGGAATGTACTGTTATGCAGTAAATGTGCAGACATGTGAATGAATGCATACACTTGTACATAGTGCTTGTACATAACTGTAATTACAGGCTAGGTTGAAGCATGTTTACAGTACAAACAAACATTTTGTGAGGAGGCGTTTTGGTACATGCATAACCAAAAATCTCATTTGTAACTACTGGCCTTTGTTATCAAATGGAGATGAAATGAAAGACATCAGGTACAGGTGTGGCTGGGCCATCATTCAACATGTGTTGGGCAGGTTGGATATTTGTATTTGATTTTTATTTATGTTTGTTTACATTCTAAGGGTTGAAAAGTGATTTTTGTTTGGTTGGGAGGCACCTGAGCGACCATCAGCACACAAAATCCCCATGTGCCCTCATGTGTCAAGACATTGCTGGAGTTATGCTCAGAGTTACGTGAATCTGTTTACCCCAGAGGACTAATTAAGTGATGTGCAGAGTAGTTTGCACATCAGCATTATCTGATGGAAGGTTTTGGTCTTAAACAAAAGGTGTTACCTGCAGCCTCAGGCTCAGACTCATCTTGAGTGAATGTATGTTTGAACATACAAGGAATTTGACTCCAGTACAGAGACTCTCAATGTGATTGTAAGGCAACAGGAAATGGGAGATAATGGTGCTAAAAAATAAAGATAAGAACACTGAAGATAAAAAGTGATAAATGTGTGCGGTCAAATAGGAAACCTGTCAGGTGATTTGATACACAGTAGGCTAATTTTAGTTCACTGGTCCATTTTCTTGCCGGAGAGCCTCAAATACCAACACTATAACTTGTCCATCCTCTAAGTGCATAACAGATCAATTTCAATTAGATGTAGGCTACGTTTCAAAGGGAAGAGCTTCACTCTCCATTATGTTGCGAAGCTGCTCCAGTGTCTTCGAAAGTGCATTTGAGGTTGTGAGGAAGTGGTGGTGAGAAACACTGTAATATAAATTCAGGAGGCAGTCAGGTTGACTAACAGAGAGGCTGTTGCTCTTACAATGAAGGTTTAGGTCTATTTATGTTACTGGTCTTGTGAGCTTCAAACATAGTCACCAGTGCAAATAAAAATCAGTGCTTAAGTTAGAAACCAAGGTTTTCCTGTTGTGCGTTGTGATCAACAGAATATTTTTTTAGGATTTGTATGAGTTATTATTCCAACTGGGTGACATTTGTTTTTGTTCCACGTGCATGTAAATACTGACAAATACTTCCATAAATCTCAGAGTTTTTGTATGTAGTAACCAGCTGTCTTTGTATGTTTTCATCAGCCCAAATGTCAAACAAGCATTTTATTTCTTCAGTACTCCACAGAGATCATTTTGCAGCCATCTTTGTAAATGTTTAAACCAACAGAGTCAAATCGTTATGATGTCACATAGCAGCCCCCGGAGATGTGAATGGTTGTGTTCGCATCTCCGGCAGACCGCACTCGATTACACATGAATCATGCTTGAGACCACCTCTTCAAGTGGACTCGGCCACAGTGCCCAAGTTCACAGTGATCAAAATGAACCAGACTTTTGGGTCAAGTGTACTCTGATCCGGGCTTGGGTCCCTAATGTGGAACCACCCTAATATACTGCCAGGCCTCAAAATCTTGTTTACGGTGTGTTGAGGCTCTATAAATGCTGCATCCTAAATGGAGCTAGTACAAGCAGGGAGCACTTATGAGGGTTGCTAATATAAAATAAAGAAAATATGATGTATGTTCATTGTAGTAGGTGAGGATGTCACTTGCTCTGTGTTTCTACCAGTATTATGATACTTCTTCCTTAGGATCCATTGAGCCAGGCTTTTAAATGTCCTGGATATGGATGTTGCACTGTAGCTCAGCTGTGTGCCAGGATACAGAGATGAGATCCCCTCCTTCCAGCCAGTCACTCTTAGGGGGACTCTGTTTCTTCTGGTCAGCAGCCAATGAGACACTCATAGTTATCCATGCATATCAATGAGTCTGATGGGGGTCCAGGTGGTGGCTTGTCTGTGAGCTTGCTTGTTGCAGACTGTAACTGCTGCAGCCTTCCCCCACTGACAGGCCAGGGGCTGACCAGACTCTACACACAGAGGGAGGTATGCCAGCTCTTGTAGTGTGCATAGCAGGATCAGAACCAGTCTGTGACCAGTCTGTGGTTAACCCACCACTTGTCTCCCACAGAGTGAGCTCAGAGCGGAGGAAGGAGAAGTCAAGGGATGCAGCGCGATGCCGGCGTGGGAAGGAGTCAGAGGTGTTCTACGAACTGGCCCAGCAGCTTCCGCTGCCCCACAGCGTCGGCTCCAGCTTGGATAAGGCCTCCATCATGAGGCTCACCATCAGCTACCTGCGCATGAGGAAACTACTCCGCACTGGTCAGTATCTGTGGTTGTTAGATCTGATGGCGATGGCACAGCTGTCTTTGTTCAGTTGAAGTCTACTGATAATTATATTGTGCAGCTATGGTGATTATCTTAAAAGTAGCTTGAAAATATTTCTAACAACAAATTTTCAGTGGATTTACTTGTAGTAAACATCACATTTAAAATAATTTAAAGGACTACTGAAGGAAAGAAAAGACACCTCGAAAAGAGTGAGAGAAATACTGAGCACAGTTTAAGATGGAGATGAAAACAGTGATAGATGGTTAAACACTAAGTCAGCTGCTCTAAAAAATTGACTCGCATATACAGTACATAGATCCCACATGCAACTGTGGTTAAAGTGTATGTGTGGCAGCGTCCTACTCTGCGTACATGTTCTGTAGACAACAACGATGACTTCTGATGACCTGCACCTCATTTACACTTGCTTTTCTTTTCCCTGTTTATCTCCTCCAGATGAGCTAGTGGCAGAGGGGGAAACAGAGCTGGATATTCAGCTGAACAGCTCCTACCTGAAGGCTTTGGATGGCTTTCTCATGGTGCTGTCTGAAGACGGAGATATGATCTATCTTTCCGAGAATGTCAACAAGTGCCTCGGACTGGCACAGGTTTGTCTGATTTTATCTGCTGTGTGTCAGCATTAATGAGAGCATAGAGGAAGGAGCATATGATGGGTGGGAGTCAGAAGAAGAAAATGTAAGGAATGATTTTAACAGATGCTGCTCAGTAAACACCAGACAAAATGTAGAAAATAATTTACTCTGCTGTTTACTGATTTATATATTTGTAAAGTGTCTGAGGTAAATTTACTTTTGATAGGAAAGGTTAGAAGTCCCTATATAGTTTTTACCTGGGGTAACTACAAAACTGTTGCATATGCATGTATGAAGTTAGAGCACTTATTCGGTTCTCACTCTGGTCTCTGCAGTTTGATCTGACTGGACACAGTGTGTTTGACTTCACACATCCCTGTGACCAGGAGGAGCTGAGGGAAATGCTGGTCTACAGAACCGGTGAGGGACAACAGCAGTGAGGAGTGTCATAAGATTTCTATAGTCACACACACAAGCACCACCAGTAGGGAATCCAATTCGCTCTGAGCATGCAAATTCAGTTTGTCAGAACCATTTATCATTTGTCCTCTTCACAAATGGAACAGTACAGATCATATGTCAGCCTGGCTTTATGTCAGCAGAATTAATTCGTTCACTTTTTTTGTGGTATTTCCAGTGGGTTATGTTTAGTTTCTCAGTAGAATTTTTCAAATATTAATTTTGCTACAACTTTAAAAGGCTTTCCACTGAAATGTATATCATACACAATCTAATCAGTAGACACACATGTGTGGGCACATTTTCTGTTTCTTCTAGGACCTGCCTTCATACTGATACTATCTCAGCTGTAATTCTGTTGAAATCTGCCACCTCCTTCACTTTATGTAGGTCCTCACAGGTCAAAGCCATTGCAGTTTTATAATGAAACACTTAAATGAAACAGAGATAGTTGTAAACTCTGACGGTCATCATTCAGCCTTTTTCCCACATGTACATGTCATCATACAGAGCCTGGCTTCCCCTTTTTAAACTGTGACCCTCCTCTTACTTGTGTGATTCAATAGGCTCCAAAAAGACCAAGGAACCAAATACAGAGCGCAGCTTCTTCCTCCGAATGAAATGCACTCTGACAAGCAGGGGCCGCACTGTCAATGTCAAGTCAGCTACATGGAAGGTAAGTTGTGCTGGAATCACTGATGAGATGCACACTCAGAAATTCAGATGGAATCTGTGAATGTGATTGTTGCTATTGTCATGCTAACCATGTGTAGGTAGGTTTGTCATCACCAGAGCTGTTGATGAGGACAATAAAAATAGATTTTAAATTGAATAAGGCCTGAGTTGTAAAACTGTGGAAAATTACACAAATGGCTACGTTCAGCGGCTGCAGGGCTTGTCAAGTGTCAGCAGTGGGAATGGCTATAATGAAACTGTGAGGACAGTTTATTGTTGCTCCCAACTCTATAGTCCACAAGCCAGCAATTAAGCAGCAGGACACATGAAATGATTTAATATGATTTTTTTTATGTGCTGATGGTAAAACTATATTTTTAAAAAAGGTCCATATCTACATCAGCAGTGACCCAGTAAAATGTGCAAAGGAAATACACCAACATGCTTGTCTTAAAATAAATGAAACCGCCCACATCTGTACTTGACAGAGAAAACCTACATGAGATGGTTAAACACGATGGCAAATGAGCCAAGAAATCAAATGATAATGAACACAAAACATGGCAGATATATTATAATTTTAAGAATTCAAAGAAAGCCCTTAATTACAAGTTTATTACAAATTCTTGTCACATTTCGTCTTACACTTTACAATAAAGCATAGAGAAATTGGAAGTGATCAGTATTAGTACTGGCTAAATAGCATTGTCAAATTGTATGAAAAAAGCAGTGTTGATGTATATTGTTTAACTTCCCCAATGCGTATGAGCTATTTTATATGCACGTTTATCTGACTCTCTGGTAATGATGACACAGACAAAACACTTGGCATTCATTTTTACTGCACCTACATGTGGTCTGGAAATTGAAATAGTGTGTTGAGCCTCCTGTCATCTCTTCCTAGGTGCTGCACTGCTCCGGTCATGTGCGTGTTTATGACCCCCACACTGAGCAGCTTACTGAGGAGCACATGGAGCCACCAGTCCCCTACCTGGTGTTGATCTGTGACCCCATCCCACACCCCTCCAACATTGAGGTCCCTCTGGACACCAAGACTTTTCTAAGCCGCCATACAATGGACATGAAGTTCACATATTGTGATGAGAGGTGAGTTTGCCCATCCGAGCGGATATTGTATATGTCAGAAGCCTGACATAGCTACTTGGGTGATAACAGTATATGTGTAGTACCTTTGACCAAAGCATGCAACAATATAGTCGCACAGAGCCACCTAGTGTTCAATGTAGCTACTGCATGAGCTCAGTCTGTAAATTAATCTGTTTTTTTTTTTTGGCTTGTTCAGGATCACTGAGCTCATGGGTTATGATCCAGAGGACCTGTTGAATCGCTCTGTGTATGAGTACTATCATGCTCTGGACTCTGATCATCTTACCAAGACTCACCATAACTGTAAGCATGGGACTTCAGTTGCAACTTGAAATATCTCTGCAATCTTGAACAAGTTCCAGCAGACTTATTTTTGCCAAAACCTTCCTATATGTCTAAATCATTTCCCCTTTTCTTTCCTAGTGTTTGCAAAAGGCCAGGTCAGCACTGGCCAGTATCGGATGTTGGCCAAGAGGGGAGGAACTCCCAGCCACAGTGTGTTGTTTGTGTCAACTTTGTGCTCAGGTACTACAAGGCTCAGAATCTCTATTTTCAGAAAAGACTTGTATATTTCAGTTTGTTGTTTCTCAAGTGAAGTGAGATATCTGAAGAACTGGCATGTACAAAAAAGAGAGAGCACAGTATATTGTGGTTATTTCCAGAGCCATGCAGAATACTCAGTAAATTCAGTCTTGTGTCTGCATAACTATGTGATGTGTTTGTCACCACAGTGGCATCCAGGAGGACAAGGTGATCTTGTCTCTGGAGCAGACCAAGGATGTGAAGCCAGTGAAAGAGGAGCAGCCAGAGGAGGAAAAGGTTGTAGTCGAGAGCAGCCAGTCTGACATGTCTCCACCCCTGCTGGAGGAGGAAGAAGACAAAAGCCCAGAGATGGATGTGATCAAACTCTTCACCCAAGTGGTAGAGCCCCTGCCAGCGACTAGCCTGTACGACCAGCTGAAGGGAGAGCCTGAGGCCCTCACCCTGCTGGCCCCAGCCGCTGGAGATGCAATCATCTCCCTGGACTTCAGCTCCACTGGTGTGTGGCCCTATATGTGCTTAAACGTCTCCACAGAACAAGTTAGTTTATATTGTGGTAAAAGAAAACAGTCTAACCTACTTTTCCTCTGGTACAGATTCAGAGATCCAGCTGCTGAAGGAGGTCCCTCTCTACAATGATGTAATGCTTCCATCCACCAGTGAGAAGCTGGCTCTGTCTCTTTCCCCTCTGCCACCCACTGAGCCTCTCCATGTCATCACCGCCTCCGAGGATGCAAAAACTGAGGGCTATGCTTCAGCCCCGTCCACTTCCTCCATTAGCCATAGTTCTACAGAGGTAGGACTATTGAATTATTGTCATTTTGCAATACAGACAATATTGTTTTCCCTGCTTATTGTTGTATACTGAGAAGGGAATGACCTTTGTCTTCTCCTCTCTTTAGGCTGACAGCCCACTCGACTTTTGTTTCCCCATGGACTCTGATATGAGCTCAGATTTCAAATTAGACTTGGTGGAGAAACTGTTTGCCATTGATACTGAACCCAAGACCCCTTTCACCACACAGGTAATAAAGATTTGACTGTATTTAAATCAAGTTCATAGTTGATCTACAGTAAAAGGTTCTCTGTATTCAGATTCTTTACACCTTTTTTCTTCCATTAAGGCAATGGAAGACTTGGATCTGGAGATGTTAGCTCCCTACATCCCCATGGATGATGACTTCCAGCTGCGCAGTCTGACCCCAGAGGAGCCTCTGTCTTGTGGACCAGTCAAATCTCTCGAGACTTGTCCAGTCCTTGTCACACAGGATGTCGACAGCTATCCCAGCTCCCCATTCAGTTCACCGGGCAGTCGCACAGCTTCCCCAGCACCACCTGAGCCAGTCAGCCCTCCTCATCTTGGCACCCTCATTGCCAAGAGGTAAAGCCTCAAAAAATACACCACCATTTCTTTTGCAGAGAACATTTAGATAGCTTTTTGGAGATTATCTAAGAGTGACTGCTGCTGTGCTGCAGGACCCCACAGTTGGACAAAGAAGTCTCGTTGAGGACCCTGGCAGCTCAGAATGCACAGCGCAAAAGAAAACTGGGAGACATAAAAATTGTTGAACAGGTGAGTCATTAACACTTAAGACATGGTTTATAGATCTTAATTCCCTTGTACCCTTTGGCGTTTGGGCGTCTCTATTGATCTCTCCCACCCCCCTTAGGGAAATGTGCCCCAGGAACCACTGGTGCAGGGCAAAAAGCTCAAGACTTCGCAGTCAGGAACAACCAGGACCATAATTCTGCTGCCTTCAGGTGAATTATCTAGAGCTGTGATAATACTTCAGACTGTTACCTGAAACTAAACATCAGAAGAACCACAACTCTGACATATCTTGTTCATGTTTAGATTTGGCGTGTCGTCTGCTGGGTACGTCGGAGGGCACCAGTTCCCCCTTCACCCTGCCGCAGCTAACCCGCTACGACTGCGAAGTCAATGCCCCCTTGCAGGACCGTCAGTACCTGCTGCAAGGGGAGGAGCTGCTTCGGGCTCTGGACCACACCAACGTAGCTTAGCCTGCTCACTGCTGAACTAGACTGGACACTACAGTTTCTCTCCTCATATTGTTGCTCCCTTTACAAAACTCCACCCACCCTACCTAACCTCCCCCTACCGCCCCTTATTTATGTATCTGTATGAGTGTGATTATAGTTTGGCTGCTGTTTGTGCACATCATGTGATATCTGCAGCATTCCACCGTGACAAACACCATAGCAGCATCTGGGTTTTGGTGCAGGGGATTTAGGCATCATGAGATGTCCAGTTGTTTTCCATTTTGTTCTTTCCCCACTCTTCTGGGGAGTCTCTCAGCACACAGCGCCTTGACAAATGACCCTTTTCCAGCAGGTCACCACAAAACCTGGCGCTACTGCCAGCAGTGTATTATAAGCTTCAGTCGCACAATTTATATTTTCTTAAAAAGAAAAATATTACCAGCAATATATATTAAGCCTTTTTAAAGTAGTTTTAATGGGATTTGAACTATTTTATTTTTCCTCCTATACTTGTAGTACTTAACAAGATGTCCTTAGTCCAGAAATAAGTTGTTTAAACCTAAAGTGGTTTGAATGTCCTCTCCATTTAATAGCTACCAGTCTGAGGTAAATGCATATAATTGTTTAGCGGTCCAGTACATGTCACTTTATTACTTTACTGTGTGTGTTACTGTACATATACCAGGGAAATTTTATTTTACTCGGCATGGCTTCACAGCTTTGACTTGTACTCTCTAAATGAAATGGGAGAGCATTCACTGTATTTGTTTGCTGCTCATCATGTAGGATTGGTATTTTCTCTAACATGAACTGAATTCATGTTTTTGGTTTTTACTGTGCATAACTTAATCAGAGCAGTCTGTTTAAATAAGTGGGATCTCAACAATTCTTATTTTACTTGTGATTAAATGCCACCGTAGTAGCATTTGTGAGTTGTCAAACTTGTTTGCACAGTTAAGAGTCAGCTTAACATCACTGATCCATGCCATATTGTTGGGTCGCTCACGCTTCTTGTTGCTATCTAATATTAAATGGCTTTAATAAAGTAGATTGTTTCAGGTTTCATTAACTTATTTTACAAGATCTATATTTTGAAGTAGAGAAGCATCACACTGGCAAATTTTATCATTCTACAAAGTAAGAAGTAGCAGTGCTTTGTAGAGTCAAAAAATGTTGTTTATTGAACTCAGAGAAACCTGGGAATAAACCTGGGAATAAATACTAGCAGGTGTTTAAGCATTGGCAAGTTCATGATGCTTCGATCTGAATTTGAAAAATCACAACTTGTGCAGCTCACTGCCACCGACTATGTAAAGAAGACAGACTGTACTTGACTTGCAGAACTTTTAACTGCAGAAATATTTTCCACCTGGCGGTTCACAGTTTTCTTCTTGTGTAGAGGAACATATGGCCTTCTGTCCATCTGTGAAGTTGGCGAGGTTAGTGTCACTCTGTGTACTCGGGAGTCATTTGCAGCTGAACCAACTTATGTTCTCTCTGCACCACCATGGTGAGTTTGTTGCCGTTTCGGACAGCCTGGTAGATCTCCTCTGAGGTGTTTGCCTTCACCCCGTTGATCTCCACCACAATGTCTCCAGGTAACATGCCAGCACTGAAACAACATCACAAAATGAATAATGTGCATTTGGATCAGCACTACATCTTACTGCAGATGCACCAACTTGAGGAAGCTTCACCACCCAACAATATTCACAATAGCTTGGTCTTCTTACTTGTCAGCTGGGGAGCCCAAGATGACTCTGTGAATTAGAATTCCGTGCATCACATCTGGGAAGGATGGATCTCTCAACTTCAACTCGGCAATGATACTAAAGCAAAGGGAGAAACGGAAAGACATCCAGTTTTAGATACAGTGGTGCAACCCTGGTGTAAGGGGACCAGATGTAATGTGAAGTATTTACCGTGGTGTCAGTGTCAGCATCATCACTCCAATGTACCGCCGCTTTGTCTCAGGCTCATCAGACCGAGAACCTTGGAGAAGATGGACAAGAGCATTGTGTGAAACTCAGTTCTTAAGAGAGCAGTTGGAGGCTACAGAGAATATGGAAAAACAGAAAAAGAAGGTATGATGTGTAGCTTTTGATTCATAGCCTGTTCCTACTTTTTCTTTTTGCTGCTTGGTCAAGAAAAAGTCTCAAGCGATCCGATGGAATAGCAAAAGAGATCCCTGCAGTGACCTTCATGGTGTTTATACCAATGACTTCACCATCCTAATTAGAGGAGAGACGACACGTTCAGAAAAGGCAGCGTGTCACATCAGACCAAACTGTGTTGTGTACCAGTATGTTATGTGGCTGCCAAAGAGCAACGTCAAGTCAGTAAACTCCTGCAGTTGTATTGCTAATGATGATTTTGCCAGTTGTTGAGGAACAACATTTGTACACACACACACAAAATACACAAACTATCAGTTTCCATAAAGTATCTTTCAACAGCAGACAAAAGGTTGGTCTGTATAAAAATGTTTTTTATGTATAATATTAACAGCTGTAACTACAGTAAATTAAACACTGAAAATCCCCTGTAGCACAGCAGTCAGAACAGGTTTGGTGTCAAACTCTTTAAACAGGAACTGTGACTCACCAAATTAATCAGGGGGCCTCCAGAATTTCCAAACTGCAAAACACAGTCACAGGTGATGTTAAAAACAAGATGAGACATATCAGAGTCACAGTAGATCTGTGTTTGGAATGTTTATAAATACTTTCAGTCCTTAAAATGGGTAATATGTTAACTGAATTGTGTGTATACAGTATATAAATGTATAAAATCTTAATACTTACATCGATTGTTGCATCCGTCTGTATGTACTCCATGTTGGACTTGGACAGGCCCAGCTCCTCGCTGCCTCTCTGTACTGAGCTGACAATTCCCGATGTGATTGTATTCCGTAGAGCAAACGGGCTTCCCATGGCAACCACGAACTCTCCTTGTCGCACGTCAGATGACCGACCAACTGTGAGTGTGGGTAAAGGATCCTATATGTTAAGGGAGAGGGAACAGATAATTTATTCATTATTGTGATTTTCTAATTTGTTTGGTGCAGTCTCTGTAGTAAGGTACTGTGTGTTACTTTGTAAACCCCCCCCATCAACCACTATAATGGAACAAAAGAAGTTCCAGTAAAATAAAAACCAGATGTGGTCCCCTTTAGCAGAGTTTTTTTTGTAGCTTATTGCTCACGTTTGGACTGATTTTGATGGTGGCAATGTCTGCCACTGGATCTACATCTTGCACTGTGGCATAGTACATATCTCCATTGGTGAGCTTCACACGAACACCTCTCTTGTTGGCCACAACATGGGCATTGGTGACAATGAGACCATCACTGCTGATAATGAAACCAGAGCCATTGGACACTGGGACTTCTCTACCTGAAAATGGGTTTCTGTAACACAAAAAAAAGCAGGTGATCTTATTTAACTTGGAAGCAAAATGTAATATGTGGGTTAATTCACACAAAGAGACAACCATTATTGAAATGACCGAAGGCCTGGAGCACCACTTTGTCGATACAACTTCTTCTCATTATATATGACAAAAGACTATTTGGCAATGGTCAATTAGTTGATCGATTATTTGACAGCAAACAACTAGTTCTAATTTTGATCATCGATTTTGTACACAATTGTGTACAAGCTGAAGGTACAGAACATCTGATCACTCCTCTTTTCTACTTCATTTAAATTTAAAAATGCTTTAGATGTTTCCAGCTGCTGCTCATGAAAGAGATTTATGGACCATTGTCATATTATATTGTAAATTATTAACTTGTTTAAGAGGTGTTACACTAAATTATGTCATCGTGAGAGTATTTTCAAGTACAAACCACACTTGAAATACTCACTAATCACATTTTTTATTTTTAGAAGTGTAACCAAAAGTGACTTCCCCTATTTACTAGTCAAAATTGTGATTTCAGATGTTAGTGTTTTATAGTCTGATTTTCTGCCAACTCACCTGCCTACGATTTCAATATACACCACAGCTGGATTGGATTTTTCGACCACATCTGCAATAAAGTTGTATTTAAACCGAGGGCTGTCAGGTTTAAAGGGAGAAGCGCACTGAGCTGGTGACAGGATGAATTCCAGAAACCGTCTGGACACTGAGATGCTTCTGTCCGTCACTTCTTTGTCTTTTTGACTATCCAGAAGCGCCACACCACAGAGTCCCAGACCCACCGACACTGACTTGATCAGAAGAGAGCTGCTGCTGGTGTTGCCATTCCAACCACTTCTTCTCTCCCAGGCAGGAGCTCTCCTTTCTAGGCTTGTGTTTGCCTCTGCTCCCCGGTGGTTAAGTATCACAGTAGACACCCGGCTGACTGTCCTCTCTGCCAATCCACGGATCTGACCCATGGTATGTGTCCGTAGGACTGAGAAAAAACGCGTACGGACAGCAGTTGCTGCCATGTTGCATCACTTGAATCACACCGGTTCAGGAGTTCGTACACAGCCAAACACTACTAAAAAAAAAGCAGGAACGGTCCGGTGGCTATTCATCCAAGAAAACAGTTCAATACAAAAACCACCTTTGAACTGTATCATCTACAACAGAGAACAAGAGTCACATGAGAAAGCGACAACCCTAATCCGGAAGTAAGAAACGAACGCTTCTACTTCATCTGACGTGTTTGTCTATTTGCATGGCACCCATTGTACTATCGCCCTCTACAGGACAGAAACGTTCAATCACTGTTGAATAACTTCCACTGAGATAATGGAAGAACTGATGCTTAACCTTTGTAAAATAAGCAATAGAATCACATAAATACCCCATTACAAATAAAATGCCTGCATCCAAACCTTTAACTAGTTAAGGTAAAACGTATTAAAATGCACTTAATAACAGAAGTAAACATAGGCTATTGATCAATAAAAATCGCAGTGTGTGAGTCCTCATTTCACGCCAGAGTGAGCGAATATACAACGTGAGCAAAGAAGTCATGGATTCAGGCCGTGCGGGAATACCGTCCGATTAAAAACGAGTTTAAAAGTCGTACCGTGTCTGCCCGGCAATAAACTAAATGTAGGCCTACTGGAGTAAATCAGTCTACTGCTATTTTGTTAATAAACAAAAAGGAAAACACAAAAACTGCATTTCACAGTCTCTCATACAATGCAAAAATAGCATTCCTTACAGATATTACACTCTACTAACATTAATTCAGCCGTGTCCCAGGTTCCTCGAACTACTCCACCGGAAATGACGCATCTGTTTTGGCAGTACGTCACAGACTTCTAGCCAAAGGCAGCAGAGACGTGGAGTTTGAATTTTTGCGGGCTAACTAGCTAAAGTTAGTTGCTAATACACACCGGATGTATAATAATCTGTTAACGTTCTCACCAAAGCTATGGCGTCGTATAAGCATTTATTACAACACGCGAAACCAAAGCATGAGTCTCCTGCTAAGGTGTTTGCCAAGCTAAAATCCAAAGTTCAGAGAGAAGCGATGTGCGTGAAGGAGGATGTTTTTACAGACAACGATTCACCGTGTAAGGGTGGAGAGAAACATGGAGCGCCTTTTAACTCGCAGAGGAATAGAGCAAAGCATTTCTGTGTGACCGATGAACACAAGGAAAATCACAGGTTTGCTTCTTGTAACGTTACCAGTGAAGTGCGGGCTTTGACCCTCTCGCCAATATCGAGTCCTCGGAAAACCGGGTACTCGTTGTCAGACATTAGGAGCAAGCACGCTACGGAAACGCCTCCTGTGACTGAAAGGATACATGGTGTAATGTCAAGAAATGAACACACGCCAACAAAGAAAGCTTTTCTGGAATCAGCAGCCGTGTCCCATCACCTCTCCCAGGTCAACAGAGAGCAGCTCCACCCAGAGCCACCTCAGATCCGAGACATGTATGCTTTCAGCAGGGCTCCGACGAAAAGCCAGCTGGCAGAAGATGACTGTGTAAGGACTGAGGAGGAATGTGCTTCTCCCAACAAACTGATGTCTCCAGCCAAACTGTATACCCCGATAAAAAACAGATTAAGGAAGAGAACATGGGAGCAGCAGGAGTTTGATAAAGTCAGCAACAGTACAAAGGTGGTCAGCACTGAACACACAAATCAACAACAACAGAGGAATAACACCCACAGTACTTGCATGGATGATGATCTGGGTGATGTTAGAGGATTCCCCGTTGATGGGTCAGAAATGACCCAGTTCACTCACGAACCCATGTCCCCACCACCAAGATCTGTTGCAGAGAACCGTGAGATTTTATTGCTGCTTTGCTCTAAGTGAAACTCTTTCTGGTGTCATTGTTTAGGGGGAAACAGTGACTGATGCCTTTTTGATGTTCATGTTTTTGCTGTTTTAAACAGGTTGCTTTGTTGTTCTGGAAAGACCTCCTCCAATGAGTCTAGCTAAGATGTTTGCTTTTATGAAGGAGAGGGAACATAAACGAGAGCAGCACAAAGTTGATCAAGTCAGCAGCAGCACGAGGGAACGTTTTGATGGGGGTGAGTGTATAATGAAGTGGCAAGATTTGTCTGTAGCAGAGTAATGTAATGTTTTGTTTTCTTCTGTGTCAGGTTTGTATATTGCATGCTGTGCACAAGTTGTGTTTATCACTAACAGTGTTTCCATAGGTAATTGCCCTAAGCACAGAGACAGGCAGCTCTCCACAGCTCACAATAAAAGTGAGCTTCCTGACAGCCACTCCAGACTCGAGCCACCTGACAGCCCGTCAGTTCCCTCTGAGGATGTTCCCATCCCCGCTGTGCCGTCACAACCTGTTTTGTACGAAGACCCGCTCTTGCTCAATTCACCAGAGATTTCCATCCCAAAGAAACACGAGCCTGTGTTCACGCGCAACAAATTGTCCCAGTGTGCAAAATTCCCAAATGTGAGTAGAAACCTGTTTAAAAAGAAATACCACTTAAAATATTTGATAAACGAGGTGACAGTATGAGTCAGGTAAAATAAAAAGACACTGATCAGTTCAAGTGTTGGATACGGTAGGATTTGAAGACACGTTTTAGATCAAGTGTTAAGTGATTGTCAACTTGGGTTTTCTTTTTTGTCTACTTGTGAACATTTATGGCTGTTGATCCTCAGTGGGCTTTTGTTTTCCACTTTGGCAGGAGAATGTGATTTATCTCAAAAAGTGGTACCTGAGGAAAAGTAGTAAGGGCCTGTTTGTTGATGGAATTCACAGGTAAGTGTTGATATTTGACTATATGATGTGAAGATTTTGAGAAGAACACAATACAATTAAAATTTCTTTTTTTTTTGATTGCTTAACCAGCTGCTATCCTATTACACAGACATGTTCATGCAACTCTAGTTTTTTCTTCCCTCCAACCAGTGAGAAAAACATACCATGGAAGACTAACCTCGTTGCGGAAAGGGTGTCTAATTATGTAGTGAAGACTGTGTCTGGCACGGTTTATGTTTTGGTTGGCAAGATGAACTTGCATGTTCAGTCTGGTAGGTCATTTCAGTAGTTTAGGAGAATATGTTTCATTTTGAGAGACAGGAGTTGATATAGAAAAAAGCAACATTGCACACAGATTTATGCAAATTAAATATTGCATAACTTATTTTAATTTTATCTCTCACCTTTTGCCCACAGACTTTTCCAAGTGGTTTTTGAGGAGATTTGCTTATGGTTTTCCTGTGAACTGGAAGTCACTTTATGAGAAGTTTCTTTCAGAGTCAAGAGAGTAAGAATGTTTATTTCACTCCAAGACAATCTACAAAGAGGGGGGCTGCAGATAAAGGATTTTTTAAGTTTTTGCTGGGGATGTTAAATAATTTAAGCATGAGATGAAGTGATCTTTGACTGGTCAAAAATTATACTCGCCAATAATTTATTTAAACTTTTTTTTTTAAGAGCTGTATTTTGTTTTGTTGCATCAGCACAAGCAGAAAAACTGAGAGGAACCGTGATAGGGGCACCATCAAAGCCAGGACAAAATCTGAGGCATCCTCCATCAACCTCTCTGTAACACAGCACAGGCAAAAGCCTTTCAAGACACGTAAGTTTAGTGACCTCCTACCTCCATCATTCACTGGGTAAAGGATGTGCAATAAAGTTTGTAAATGGTTTGTTCACTTGTAGATTAAAGCCCCTTTTCCACAACCTGGTACTGGCTCAACTCAACTCTACTTGCTTTTGGTACTGCAGTAACGTGCCAGCTAGCTACATAGCTTTACTTAGCAGGCATAGCTGTAGCCATTGTGCTCATATTATCACATTCAGTAACTTCTGGACTATGTGATGGGATGTATGATGTGGTGGTTCATGTAATTAATTGCTATATAGTAACAGAGGCTCGAGAGCTATGTCACCATATATTTTAACCTCTGTAACATTCATGAAAGAGAAGTGGCAGCTGCTATCATAAATGAATGAAGAACGAGCGACTAGTGTCATCACATGTAAACATCCAGGTTTATCGGTGGCAAGGTCACTGTGTTGAAATGACAAATTTCTCTGAGCAATTGGTAGTCTTCAGTGTTTTCATGTCAGTTTGGTATCGCCTCAGCTCACTTGGAACCTCAGTGGAGGTGATACCAAAATTATTACCATGTACTAAATAAATAACAAATAAGTCGAATCGGGCTGGTACAAGTCAGTGGAAAAGGGGCTAAATTTCCCCTGTTTGTTCCCTCTAGCTGATACCTGTCCTCCTGCCTTCCCTGCTACAAAAGTGTCTCGGAGTGGGCGGGTGATCAAGCCACCTCTCGAGTATTGGAAAGGGGGAAGAGTCATTCTGGATGCCCACATGAATGTTACCATCCATGAATGTTACAATACCTCCACCTGCATCCCTGTAAGCACCCTATAGTAGAGTGCATATAGATTATATAAAAATTCACACCATGCTTTTATTATTTAGGGCCAGTTGTTTTGACTATGTGCAACCAAATGATAATTCTGACAATTTCTCACAGGAGGTCAACACAACAGTGTCTGCGAGGATGTCACAGAAACCTGTCTGTGTGTTCCTACCCTGCAGTGAAGGTAAAAATAACTTGAGGTGCTGCAGATTTAGCACTGTGAGAGAAGTTGTCACATGCAGTCAAACTGTCCATTGTGTTTCCAGACCGTAAGCAGTACGAATCAGCCAGTGAAGAAGAGGCTTCTGTACCAGTGAGGAAAGTTAAGGCTTCACTTCGTAGATGTAACAAAGTCAAGGCTATCCCTAAAGAGGAGTCCTCTAATTCACCTGAACCTGCTGTGGAGACAATTAGCAGCTCTCAAGAGTGGTCTGGAAGAACAATGCATAGCCGAATGCATCCAGCTTCAGAGAGGATGTTGTATGTGGACACAGTTCCTCAAAAGCAAAGGGAGCCTAAAAAGTCCTCAGCAAAAAAGTCAAAAAAACAGGCACATGTGAAAGAGAGGAGACAGACTGTCGTAGCATCCCCAGAATCTCTCACTGTTAACGATAAATCATTACAGCAAGAATCATCCGATGATGAGTTTTTCATTAACAGGGCGAAACAAAGGAAAAGTGAGTTCAGGATGAGAAGAGGGGAGATTCTTAACAAGTCACAGATAAGACAAGTTTCTCCATCTAGTCAGTCATCAGAGTCCTCTGAGAAGAACGTGAAGGGATGGAGCAAAAGAACCAGAGAAGCCAAAAATATTGATGCTGCACAAACACAGAGAAAAAGCAGCAAAACATCATCATCCATAACACTTTTACCTAAGTCACCGCAATCTAGCTTGAAACGCAAGCCAATTAATACCAGGACAGTGGCTACACAAGAGCAAAAGAAGGACAAGCGGACCGAGGCAGAACTCATGAAACTACAAGAGTAAGCTTTCTTATCCAAAAAAGATTTTTGCCGAGTTGGAGGAATGTATTTCTGAAGCGTAACCACGTGACCCACTGATGTATGGATGTGCATTTGTTTTCCAGGGCTGTGCCCTATAATCTTAAGAGCATGACAGATTACAGGGCTAAGGGGGCAGAAATGGTAGGAACACATTCTGCAGAAGAGTGCCTCACATCCCGAGGAACATCAGAGACTACTGCTAAGAAAACCAAGAAATCCAAAAAGGAAAAGGTGGAAGCACCAAAGGATCCAGGTAGAGAACGATTACTGTTTGGTATGTAGACTTTGCCGGTTGTTTGTCAATGGAGAGGACAGAATAGCAGAAACACTTTATAGTTTAGCACAGTTCAATACAACACAAACTGTAGTTTGAAGACACAGGGTGAAATTGTCATTTTCTTGACAAACATATAAACCTACAAAGGTAGTTATTGTGGTGCTGTTGTGTTGTATTGTAAGTGATGCTGTAATATATTTGCTTCCTGTTGACAATTTCAGGGGTACAGCTAGTGACTTTTCAGTACAGATGAACCTTTTCTTGATTAATTGTTGAATCATTTGGTCTTTTTTTTTACATTCATAATTCTAATGTAAATGTTAAGTTGGTGTTTTTTAATGTGATTTGTTCTTGTCTGGGTAATCTATTATTTTCTCTTTAAAAAAACTAAAAAAGATCTAGATGTTTTGTAAAAGACTGAACACAGATATTTACAGCGATCTGACAAGCTATAATTTATGCCCAGTTCCTCTGATATCTGCTGGAGTGGGAACCTTAAAGAGGAAGCAGCAGGTGCGTCAGTTCTTGGAAACTATGCCCAAAGAAGATGTTGATGACATTTTCAGCTCCACACACATGCAGAATGAACAGTTTAGGGTTTGTCTTTTTCCGTTTTTGTATTTTGCACAAGTTGGCTGCATCTAGTGAATATTGCACTATGCAAAATGTGTCTCTTACTGTTCCTCTTGTGTATGTCTGGATGGATAGATCCCCTCCATGTGTCCGAGTGAAAGCCCTGGCTTCACGCTGTCGGCTGAGGAAGACTCTCCCGTGACCCCCCTGTCGAAAGTTTTTCCTGAAGCAAAGACTCCTCAGTGTCTGGCTATTACTCCTGGCATGATGGGCTCCCCAAATAGGTGATATTGACTTCTGCATTCTTGCTTGTAAGAGTTGATTGCAGTAAAATAATTTACTTTTCCTCCTTGATTTTGAAGGAACAATGGCGACAAGATGGTCTTTCAGTTGCAGAAGAGGACAAAACAGAGGCGGTTTAATGTCTGCAAACCATACAAACCAGCTCCATCTTCAAAGGTACTAATTTATATGGGTTCATGCCAGAGACCTTTGTTGTCTTGAAGCACATGGTTTATTGTTTTATAATCCGCTGTATTCTTTATTCTTTGTTTCTTTCAGAGTTTTGGACCCACGCCATCAATTAAACGAGAAATGAGAAGATGTGTTAATACAGGCAAGTTTCCTAGTCAGTGTGCTACACCTGTGTTGTGGCAGTGTTAAAAACGAATCACGATCACAGGCAGGCCAAAATAAATGAAACCTTGTACATTTAAATACCAATTTGAAGTTAGTTTTTTTTGTTCAACACTGAGGCTGTGCCCTGTATTAGCTGCAGATTTATTAGATTGTAAATTGCTTATATTTTTGTCCACCCTTGTGTTTAGAGCAGGTTTTTTGAAATTAATAGAAAGCATTTCTATAGCCGAAAACAGTTTTTGCTACATTGATATTTCTTTTTTTTTCTTTTTTTTATACAAGTCTTGTTGCTGAACATGTTTTTTCTGGTCCCCCCTAGAAAATGATACCTTTGTCGTTTGGGAGATGTTCCAAGATGACGACAGACAACTGTCTGACAGTGAAGAGGAGGAGGATTTCTATTTCACTCATGATGACTGATTAAAGTTAGAGCTGCAGTTATTCACATGATTTAAAATCAGTGGACGGACTTGACCTCATCAAATGTGAACAATAAAACTGGTGCAGTTTTGCTTTCTGGTCATTTACATGTAAGGTGGGATTGTGAAGGTTTTTTTTATATGTAAGTGCACATTTGTGTGAAAGAAGTAATTGTTGTAAAGTTTTTAAACGATCTGAAATGCGCTGTATAAAAATTAAATGCATTTTTGCGCTGAGACATTTTTACCGGCTGTGAAATTGCACTTAATTTCATAATTGTTTTACATCCTGTCAGAAACAGACTTGTTTCTGACATTTCTGTAAATGATTTTTTTTTAGTTCAAATCCCAAAGGTCAGCTATAACCTTTCTTTTAATAAACATTAACCATTAATAAATTCATAAATCGCGTTTCCGCGCGGAGCGGCAGCAGCCGCTCTTTGTTTTTTTGTTTTTTTTGTGTTTTCTTGGGTTTCTGTGTTGCTTATGTCGCTTTCCTGTAAACTTTTGGGGAGTTGGGCTACCAGGAATACAAGTTTTTTTGTGTTTGCATTATGTTTTTATACTTTTTACGAGGTTTTGAGTCTGCCTAGGGAGGACCCTGTTTGCCAACAGTCAGCCATCAATGCCAGCAATCCTTCCGAGATCCTTGTGGTGACTGCTGGGGATTTTCCACGGGGATGCGAGGTGGTGCGACGGGAGATGTGGGACTGCGGGGCTGGGGGAGGAAACTGTGATATGGGCCATGTTCGCCATCGGTCCGCTCCCCTCCCGAGATGAATGGACGAGCTAGCCGCGCTGGCGGAGCTGCAACCGGGGGA